CACTATTACTCTATCACGTAGTGTGAAACATACGCCTCAGGCACTCAAAGCTCTGTGTATAATCTCTTGTACCGCCTCGGGCTTCTCCAGCAGCATCGCGTGCCCGCATGTCGGAATTTTGAACGCCTCTCCGCCCAGTAGTGACGCCAGCTTCTCCGCGTCCTCGGGTCTGGCGAACGTATCCTCGTCGCCGTATATGACGATGCTCTTCCTTGCTTGTATTTCCTGTGGCAAGGCGAAGCCGCTGAACGATTCCAGAACAGCGCACGGCCCGTCGGTGCTTTGAGCCAGCACCATCTTCTCACTCCGAACACACACTCTCGTCGCGTCTTCCGTCCGCACCAAGCGCATTGATCTGTGCGATGCTTCATCCCGAGTCTACCGGCCCGATCGAGGCGTCCGGGCTCGCCCACTGCAAGCAATGCGAGCTGAAAGAGAATCTATGGTTGTGTTGGACTTGCGGCTCGCTTGACTGCGGTCGCCAATTATACGGTGGTCTTGGTGGCAATGGTCACGGTCTTGCGCACTACCAGGAGACGCACCATCCCGTCGCGGTTAAGTTGGGTACCATCACACCCGAAGGCAACGCCGGTAAGCCACTCAAACCCGGCTCGCTTATTGCACTGCTGATCACGGCCACATAGATATATACTGCTACATATGCGACGATGCCAAAACCGATCCTGAACTACTCGCGCATCAACGTCGCCTCGCAAACCAAAACGGGGAAGAGCATGACCGAGCTCCAGCTCGAACACAATATCCGCTTCGACTTCTCGCTCACCGACGAGTCCGGGAAGGCGCTCGAGCCAGTCTTTGGACCCGGCTTGACCGGTCTCGCGAACTTGGGCAACAGTTGCTACATGGCCTCCGTTCTGCAAACGCTCTTCACTCTCCCGGCGTTCCGCGAGCGATACTACGCGCCTGCAGCACAGCACTGGGCGGCGTGTACGGAGACTTTACCTGCGAGCTGCTTGGAATGTCAGATGGTCAAGATTGCCGACGGTCTGTGCAGCGGCCGCTACAGCGTTCCACGTACCAAGAGCGAGACGACGCCGAAGTCGGGCGAGAGCCTGCAACACGACTCACCCGCGCCTGTCTTTCAAGAGGGTGTGCGTCCTGCGAGCTTCAAAGCGCTTGAGGGTAAGGGTCACGAGGAGTTCGCGAGCATGCGGCAACAAGACGCCGAAGAGTGCCTCGCGCATCTCTTGACCTCACTTCGGCGCGCACAGCATGCGCAGGGAACGAATACAGGCGGGGACGCGACACAGATATCCGCCTTCGAAGTCGAACAGAGGTTGCAGTGTGGCACATGCGGAGGGGTGCGGTACAGGGCAGACGCGCAAGACGCGCTAAGCGTGCCTGTCCCAGCACGCAAAAAGAGCACAGACGAAGACGGAAAGATAACCTACGAAGACATCCCGCTCTCCGAATGCCTGGACATGGCTCTCGGCTCCGAACAACTCTCCTATCGCTGCCCCAAATGCGCCAAAGACGTCCAAGCCGTCGGCGGCAGCCGCCTATCGACCTTCCCCGACGTCCTCGTCGTACACGCCAAGAAGTTCACGCTCGTCAACTGGGTGTCTACGACGGTCGATGTGCCCGTTATCCTCCCAGACGGAGATACGCTGGTGCTGGACGGGTATAAGGGGAATGGGCTGAGGGAGGGCGAGGTGGCGTTGCCGGAGGAGACGGCTGCCGCGCCGGCTTTGCCGACTTTCAACGCGGAGGCGATGGCGATGCTCGCGGGGATGGGCTTCCCGGAGATACGGTGTCAAAAGGCTTTACTTGCGACTGGCAACGCCAACGCGGAAGTGGCTATGGAACGGTTGGTCGCGCACATGGATGATCCCGGTATGATTCATTCGACCTCTTCCTTCCATGGGCGCATACTAACATGAGCGACGATGGATATCGATGCGCCGATCCAGTTACCGGGCGCTGGTGCGAGCGCCGGGCCTGAGCCGAGCGCGGAGCAGGTTGCTATGCTTGCCGATATGGGCTTTACGAGCGTGCAGGCGTCCAAGTCTCTACGCAAAACTGTACGTGGACTCTCTGTGATATCTTATACCCACATCGACCTTGAGCTGATGATGTTACTATAGGGCGGCAACCCCGAACGCGTGATCGAGTGGCTCTTCTCGCATCCCGACGACGACGGCTCCTCATCCTCCGCCGCGCCCACATCAGATTCGGCCGCAGAAGAGAAAAAGGTCGTCGGCAACCCCTCTCTCCCAGCAAAGTACCGTGTCCGCGCATTCGTCAGCCACCAAGGCCCGAGCGTGCACTCAGGACACTACGTCGCGCACATCCGCCAGGGCGAGACGGATGATTGGGTGCTGTTCAATGACGAGAAGGTCGTCAAGGCGGATGCGGAGAGCGTCAGGACGTTGAAGGCGTTGGCTTATATGTGGGTTTGGGAGCGGGTTTGAACTCTCAAGGCGTTGAGAATGGATTGTGGCGATGATGGGATGATGGACGGACTGAGCAAGATGGCGTAGCATAGCGAAGAATTGACGACGATGTATTCGTGGACGAGGGACGTTGCGCATGAGTTCCATATCCTTGATGAGATACTGAGCGCACTCTGGAGAACAATCGTTATCCATAAGCCCAATCAATAAGCCCTACTGTTTATGATACGGTATGTATAGGATCATACACGATTGACTGCATCTCCTTCAAATACGTCTAGATCAGCATCCTTCTCCGACTCCGGCACCTTCTGCTCATCGGAAGAAGGCTCCTCCACACCGTGCTTCCCCTCCCCTTGAAGACTTCCAACAGCCTGCTCGACGAGTGTCGCAGTCGGCGGGAAGAGCCTGGACAGTACGAAGTATATCGAGGCGGAGATGAAGAACGACGTGAAACACAACGCTTTGTCTGCATCGTCGTCAGTTCAACGTTCAACACTAGTCATCATTCAAAAGAGAGAGAGAGAGAGCTCACAGAAGTAGAGGTAGTTGCCTATATCGACTTTTGGGTCGATGGCGTGGATCAGACCGGGCAGGTGGATCGGCACCACGACGAGCAAAGTCACGAGCGCGCGCCAGTTGACGCCGGCCCGATACCTGTATATGCCCTCGTTCTGGTACGGTGCTGGGATATGGAGGTGCATGTGGCGGACGAGGTAGTAGTCGGTCACCTACGTGATCAATCAAGACTGTGTGCACATATTCGGAACAGCAAGGAGATGGAACAGGCGTACCATGATAGCTATAATCGGAGCAAGCACAATGGTATACCCGCTCAAGAACGTCGTCAAGCTCGTAGCACTAGCCTGGATCATCCACGGACACGTCGCCCACCCGCACAGCACAGCCGTCAACAGCGCCCCACGTCGTATGCTCAACCACCTCGGCGCCAGAAACACGAAATCGTTCGAGCTCGCTATGCAGTTCGTGCTGATGTTCGTGCCCAACGTAGCCAGTCCGAACGCGAAGGCGCAGAAGAACGAGGCGGCGCGCGAGGGGAGGAGCGCGACGATGGACGTGGGGTCCCAGTAGAGCTTGCCGTAGATGGACTGGCCGGCCGAGGCAATGACGATGCCGATGAAGGAGAAGGATAAGTAGACGATGGGGGCGAAGAGGAGCTGCCAGTAGGCGTCGGAGGTCTTGTGGGCGTAGCGCGTGAGGTCTGGCTATGCTCGTTGACACCGTCCACATCACTTCGGGTTTCAGAGACAGGAGAACGGCGTAAGATGTTGATGGCTAGAGTTGTCTTGCCGGAGATGGCGATGTTGACAGCCGCGACCCACGCCCAGCTCTTCGTGCTTCCACTCAACTTCGAATGTTGAGCGAACACGGGCCCGCCGCCGCCGGCTTTGTGCACTGTTCACCCCAAGAGCGCGAATGCGGCGATGACGGCGGCGATGGACTTGACGAAGAACAGCCAGCGCATCTTGCGCGGGTGTATAAGTACAAGCGGGGGTTGCACTGTTTGAGTGCACTAGTCAGTCTGATGTAGGGATGGTGAGGTGATGAGATGGGTGCGCACAGGTCCAGAAGACGAAGTAGGCTATCATCTTGTTACTCGTGATGCCGATGTGCGCCGGTATACTGTTCGGGTAGTGTTTCAAAGACGGCCAGATAGCTTCGAGCCTGCACATTCATATCAGCGTCTATATACACATCCAGCAGCAGTTGATACCACTCACATAATCAGCATACAGCTCGCGCCGATATACGTATTGATTCTGTAGCTCAGCACCACCCGTAGTACAATCACAGTCAAAAAAAGACGCACCCGAAGTGCAAAAGCCCGAGCACAAGCCTCGACACGACGGCAAAGTACGAGAGATAGAGCCCCATCGACGCGCGCGAGGCGATGGAGAACGGGACGTGGTGCCGTGAGCCGATGGCGCCGTTCAGCGTGAGGGCGGCGGCGATGACGATGTTGCCTATCGCGCTGTATGCTTCATTAACGTCCGAGCGGAGTTGGAAAGAAGAGGAATGTGACCGAGGAGGGGAGGAGAGGGAAGGGTGTGGGAGGAGAGGAGAGCACGCACGTCGCCGCAGACGCCTCGCGCCACGACAAGCCCAGCGATACAATGGCGCCCGCCTGCTGCATCGTGCCGACGTTCGCGCCGTCCGCGAGCCACAGGAACAGGTAGCCGATCCTGCACAACACCAGTCAACGACCCATTATGAATCGTCCCTTGAATGATGAATGAGACGCACTCGCGTTACGACCGCTGCTCCACGGGCACAGCGTCCACGTCTGCATTGGACCATCCTTCGTGTGTCGCGTACGACGCGGGGGGCGTTGAGAGGTGCCAGTAAGATTTAGTGAGGTATTTGCGTGGATTGGGCCGCGGTAACTTCATCGGATGGGGAGGAGAGGTCGTGTGCCCGCGCACGAGGGCAGGAGCAGGATCTGCGGGTGTGGCCCTCGTATATTTGAGGGGACTGATACTGAGAGCTTATCGTCACAGGTTCCGGGCAGGGGAGGGGCGCAGGATGGGCGATAGCAGAGGCAGGCACGCGGGTATGTAGACTCATGAGCATCGGCGTACGCGTCGATGGCTGAGGCGCAGAGTCATCTTGCGTGCAAGACGACTGAGAGGCTGAGGTAGAGATAGATCTGGCGTTTACGTCGGCCACGGAAGTGGCGAGGAGGGCAGAGAAGGAGAGGGGAGAGGAAGAGTGCGCCGGAAAAGCCGACGAAGGGGCCGATCCGCAGACTCGACCCTCGAGCGCCGATCAAGGTGCCAATATATCATCGACATGTTGGCCTGCTGTATCTGTGTTTGAGCTTCAGCGTCGACCAAGAGATCTTTGCAACAGAAAGCGTGAAGAGGTACGAGTACTGTCCCCTCTTACGAGCGGGGTGTGCCTATGCAGGTGGCGCTTCTGTCTTTGGTAGACCTAAGGTGAATGCGAGGGCGAGCCCGGGGGAGTCGTGCTACAGCGACTGCGCATACATACACTTTCGGCGGCTCGTGATTTCGGGGACTGGGGTTCACGCAGGAGGAGTATCTGTGCAATGACGTTGATTGTAGTGGTCATGGTAGAAGGCAAGACGCGCCGTCGAAGCGCGCGTCTACATAGGCGCCTCAACATGATCTCAGATCTGTTCGATTGTTCAGTTGACGCCATCTCGCCCAAGCTGGAGCGCTTGTTCAGGTTCAAACGCTACACAGCTGGCGCTCTTGTTAGTAGATTTCGGTGGTATACGAATGGCGTAGAGCGTATGGGCAACTACGCCGACTATAAAATGAAGATATTACAATGCAGGGTGGTATTAGGATACAGATTTGTACGATACAGAACCTAGAGGCTTCGAGACCTGACGTATGCTACACAGCGAACTAGTCGAACAAGCACAGCACTCCGATCTCCGTAACTTAACACCTCATCGGGAACACCCGTCTCCCAACAGCCGCCCGCAACACCTCCAGATCCTCCCTCCGCAGCACGACCCTCCCTTCTTCTCCATCCCTACCAAACCACTCCGGCCTCTCGCCCCCGTACAGCCAATCAGCCTCAAACTCCAGCCGCGCCGTATCAGGCAGCGCGCCGTCGAACGGTAGAGTGAGCGTTCGATGCGGTGTGAACGAGGGCGCGGGGCAGAGCGTTATAGTGAGGGATTTGGACGGTTTGGAAAGGCTTATGAGGATTATGAGGCCGAGCTAACCGACATTCACCATTAGGCGGGCAGACCTTGTGAGTGGGAAGAAGGGATGCGGACCTTTCCGTGCGTAGACTGCTCGCTGAAGTAGACCCACCAGTCCTTCTCCCCGGGAGCATCCTCGAGAAAGTCGGACGTGCCGATCTCGACGAGAACGCTTGGGCAGTAGTTCTCATACTCGGCGACCGAGGAGGGGCAGAGGGCGCCGGATGGCTCTCTGGCGATCTCTATGCCGAGATGCCGACTGTGCATAACTTTGCCTGTAGTAGAAAGTAGATGATCAGATGGCAGTGGCGAGGAGAGGGGGCGCACGCGTGCTGTTCTCCGGGTCCAGCCCGACTTCTGAGCAGCCGGCTGCGGATTCTATGCGCCTGAGGAAGCGGTAGAGGAGGGTTGGCCATACGACTGCACAGGCTGAGGGTAGGAGCTTCACAAATACTTCATCGCCAATGATGGTCAGTCTGCGTAAACATTCAGAACGGCGCGGAGAGTGGAGGAGGAGGGGAGAGACGTACCGGTGCGACTTGCCGAAAGCGCCGTTGTCGAAGAGTTGTACGACGTCTTGTCCGTTTACGAATGTGGGTACGCGGAGGTACACGGTTCTAGAGTCGCGACTGCGAAGTCCAATCAACACAAGTCGGCCTTGTACACCAAAGGTTAGGACGTACTCTGCTTCGTCCTTTGCTTGATCGACGCGCTTCGCGAGGGCATCAATGTCGAGCTCGTTCGGGCTTTCAGAGGAAATATCTGCGGATAAAGCACGAAGCCTAAGAGTGAGAGTTAAGCATAGTCAAGGGGTGAAGCGGGATGAGCGAAACTGACCAGTCGCGAATATGAGCGTTCGCGTCGGCTTCAGGGGTAACTCGCGCGTCGGGTTCGGCGTGGGGTGTCATCGCCGCGCGCAGAGCAGATAAATAGATAGAGAAACCTGAGCGGACAAGCTCAGTAAAGTCCCAACTCAAACACCCATGATGCGTGATGGCAGTCAACGCTCAAGCCCGCGGCCTGCGGCGCGTCTCGACCGTGACAAGTACAAGTCACGCCCTACGCGTTCACGCAGCATCTCTTGTTATATGACAATAGTGATGTCGGCTTTTGATATTCTGCAGTCGAGTACTCACTGGAGAGGATGCGTGCATTGCGACCTATGGTGCGGCACGACAATGATGCTCTACATCGATCACTTAGAATGGTGGCAGAGAGCACGGGTCGGGGACTCACCAGAATCGCTTCACTGTCATGAACCACCCCCCACCACCTCATCACCCTCGCCAAGTCTTGGTCTCCCAGGACACCGCGTTCTAAGGTTCGTGGTCGCGGTTGCATGCGACGTTCGCCGACCGGCGAGCTATGCCTATCCTTCTGAGAACAACTCGTGCATTCTCCTGCCGATTTGCCAATCGGGGAGCAGTCTGACGATGGCGATCACGGATGCACTGAATCAAAGCGTCACCTTCTGCAGTGTGCTTGGGGTTTGCACCTTAGCGTCCTAACTGTCACGCACGAACAGGGGCATAACATCTTCCATCATCTCGAACCCGACGCTGGAAGCGTCATGTCAATACTAGAAGGCATACGTATACAAAGCGTACTTGTTGTTTGCTTGGAGTCGTCCGAGGTTCCGCGACCTCGTCTTCAACAGAATTTTTCGCGGCTGGGCCTTCGGCTAACATAGCTCCGAAGGCAGTATCGTCCAGGGCATCAACTATAGGTGGAACGCATAATGATTGAGAGCCCTGGACATTCACAGTGGAGATAACGGCGTAGCGCCTCATCGTTAGATCGTAACTTCAAACACACATTATATTTACGTCTTGCAGTCAACCTCTTCATGATGGCGCGGATATAGTTGTACATGAACGAGTGCTTTGCAGCCCATAACAAGACGAGAAGTACACTCCTGTGGAGAACGATCAGAATGGATGTGGATGCAATATAGTTTGCAAACTCACCACAGATACTCCTTTGCCATCAAGCGCCATTCACCAGTTCTCCATCCCCGGAGTTGACGCCTTACGCACCCCCATTCCCGGCATCTTCATCTTCGTTGTGTGGCGCAATCGGAGCTCCATTATCGTTTGCGCGATCCGCCAGCCGGCGGGCGATAGCCGCATCCCTCAACGTCGTCAAGGCGTCCCCCTGCCGAGCCGCCAGCAAGTGTACCATGGTCATGACATCCTGATTGCGATCGTGCAGGCGGCCACTGGCGGTGCTGAAGATCGCATCGCCCTCGTTAGAGCTGTCCAGATACGCCGTATAGCCATCGCGCGCGGCTACGCGCATGACGTTTTCAGACGTTGCGACGCAGGCTCTGACGTATTCGTAGCAGCGGTAAAGTCGGTCCAGAGCATAGTTGGCGCGCGCATTGAGTACACCGATGTCTTGCGAAGCAAGCGCAGCCTCGTCTTCAACGAGATCTCCAGGAACCAGCCCCTCTTCGCCGAGGGTCGATTGGTGCGGTTGGACGGGACCGATGAAGCCGGCATCGTCCAAGCTCTGCTGTTGAACGGGCAAGATGGGGCCGACACCCGCCGCGGCATCAGCGCTTGACTCGGCACCTTGACCGGCGTCGCCCCAGAGCGGAGCGGAGAGCGCGGTAGATGCTGGCGTTATTGCGGGTCCGATGTCGCTGAGGCTTGCCGTGGCGACAGCAGTCGAGTCAACTTGACCGGCATCGAGCCGGGGCGGTCCCGAACGCAGCGCATCGAGAGCGACCAGCGTTGTAACTGGATCAGCGTCATTGATTGGCAAAACGCCGACAGTAGTGAATCGCGGCTAGATACGAGGTTTGAGCATCGGCTGCGATACTTATTACTAAAGTAAGACGACTCACAGACTGCGCGTCGAGCGGAAGTGCAAGAAATCCCGGCGCGGGATCGCGCATATGATGATGGACAGCAATCAGTCGCTGGAAAATTATATTAGCGGTCTGAAAACCAGACCAGGGAGCAAAAGACGCACCGGGTCGGAGCCACGCAAAGAATCAGGACCAACATCTTCCCGCCGAGACGAGACAGCGTCCAACTCGTCCAACACACGTTGATCTGGCATCGCCGACATGATCGGAAATCCAGCTGCTGTCGAACAATCCATTGGGACGGATGCAGCCGGCGTAACCGAGCGATTGGGTTGGGCGGTGATGTCGAACATGGTTATGGCAATCAACGCCGAGGACAAGGACAGGGCCGACGCAAAACGAGTTGATTGGCCATATGACCCACACAGCGCCTATCATGAGATGAGCAACGATGTGGGCGTCCTTGGGCGCTCGGGTGACGCCGACAGCGACGTCGCGGCCATCAACCCGCACTCGGGCATCCCCGACGGCTGGCACCGACGGCACGCTCCTTTGGCGCTCGGGGGTTGCCGACAGCTCGCCTTTCGATGAACCCTCTGCGGTCGCCAGTGCGATGTTTGTTGGGACTGGGGCAGAGGAAGAATTGGCAGCATCGGCCAGTCGTTCCGATCGCGCCGATAGTAGGGCAAATGACGGTGCCACTCGGGGAGCGTAAACACTCTCACTCGCCCGACAGTAAAAGCGGGGGGTCGCTCGAGCAGGAAACTCGTTGGGGGAGCATAAGAACGAGGAAAGAGGGAGATGATGGTCAAGGGCAAGAGAGGGAGGGAGGGGGATCAATGGTGTAGAATCCACTCATGACTTGACCCCCCGTAACCCCATTGGTTCACACGCTGCCACCCCTGGCCCCCTCGAACAGCACGCGGCGATGGGCACGATAAGCACTGCGAGATTTGAGATCCAGCCTCCCACTGTACCAGCACGGCAGGCTGGCTGAAATATGCACATTCGACGGCTCGGGCTCAGCTCGCCAACTTGCCAAACTCGGGCGTTCTAGCCAGCGCCTGCCAGCTGAAGCCTCCTTTCAATTCGCGTTGGGTTGTCCGGTCCAGCACTATGGAGGCTGGAACGATAAACATCAGCATACGACGTGGACAAAAACTCGGCTGGATGAGCTCGCCCGTGTCCAGGTTGCCCCCTGCACCCCAGCTATCACCTGTAGATGTATGCCATTTTTTTCTCCTTGCTCATGGCTTGGGAATAATTAGAGCGAAGACAATTGAAACGCGAGAGAGATGACCACTCAGTACTCACGGAAAACAATGCCGATAGATACGTGAGTCGGTGCAGCGCGCCAAGAGAGAAGTCGGCTTCAGTTGTCTGCTGGCTTAGCGGGAACGCACATAAGGAGGCTAGGTCAATGATAGGCCATAAGCGCTTAAGCAGCCAGACTCACGCTTGAATACTAAGGCAGTAACTGAGGTACCCACCAATTACTAAGGTGGGTGTCGGCCCTGTCGATACCGTGGGAAATTTAAGTTTTCGAAACGCGGCGCGCGGTGCGGCAGCTATCGTGTCGAAAAGCGCGAGTGCGTGGCGCGCAGCGGCGGGAACACTTGAGAACTGGGGGAACACGCGGTCCTCGCTGCGCCGCGGTGCCGCGACCTCAACCCGTTTTGAAAACGGCGCGGCGCGGCGGGAATGTTTTCAAAAATCATCGTGAGTCGTACGACGCGGCGTGTCCTGGCTGGCGAGCTGTCTATCGTATACGGCGCCTTGGGTAGGGTCCTTCGACGTCGGTATTCCCGTACGGGTAGAATACCTTTAGATCTCAATATATCTCGGTTTTTCTCAATTTAAGTCGAGCTTTTGAAAACGCGGCGCCGCGACGAGGCGCGCGGTGCGGCAGTGCGGCGTCGAGCGCGGCGATGTTTCGAAAGTTCGCGCCGCGGAGGTGCGGCACCGCGCGTTATACCAGTTGCTGAACTTTCATGCAGCGGCAGAGGCGGCACCGCGAATTACACCGGGTTTCAAACTTCCATGCGCTTGTCGCTAGCAACTACTACTCTTCGCCAACCGCGTCAAGCGAGAAGAGTAGGTACACTACCCGTCGCAACTAGGGCGTTGCCAGTATTCACGACGCCGAAAGAGCACAAACTTAAGCGACTGAACGTGGCTTTTGGCTCGTTGCGAACGTATGTACTAAATAGGTGTCCTTTTTGCCGCCTCCTTCCGGGGCGGCGTAGGCGAACAACTACGGTTGCATGTGCACAAGCCACTAAGATTTCCTGACGGTGAGACTCAGCAGTGTCGAATCCTATACTTATTGCGACTCGACGGCCGTTTCGCGCGTTTCCGTACGAAGACTTGCACGTGCGATAGCTCGAGAACGGCCACAGGTACGGCCATTGTGAGTAGCTAGATTGTATTGCGTAGTCGAGTAGATCGTGGCTCCACCCGTATCCGAGAGGAATGGACAAGCACTCGTATAGATAAAATAGTGGATCTCGAAACGAGTGTGTGCACTACTATAGGATCAATAGTGTACGTGAAGTGAAAGTAGGAATATTTGAAGATAGCTGGAAGTGTATAGAGTGCGGCCCTATGTCAAAAGTAGGGGGTAGCAGTCGATTTGAACGTACTGTGAGCCGCACTTTGTCTGAGGTGTCTCCTCGCGGTGTACAGGAGGGTTGACTAGTGACTGCGCATGAGGGTAGCATGATCGGGCCGAAGGAATGTAGTAGAAGTATAGGTCACATTTATGCATGCGTTTATGGGATCAGATAGAGCGGTATTTTAACGAAGCTATAGATGCTGAAGGTTGAGCAGAGCATTGCTGCACTCACAACCAAAGGGTAGAATGCATCGTCACTATTCATCCTCATTGAGACGCCGCCATGAAGCTCGTCTGCGTGGCGCTTATCGCGCTCTTCAGTGAGATGCGACTTCCAGCCAGACGAGCGCCACGGCTTGGCGTCTTCTCGGTGGAGTCCATCGACGCAATGACTTAGTGGAGGGGATGAGAAGCATACATCGAAGGCCAGTGTCAAGTAGCGTGGCAAGAGTGCGGTGTGTGCACGGAGAGGGAAGCTCTCGCCGAGGTCGATCCGCCATGTAGGGTGTCAGAACATGATGAATGCCGTGGCTGTGATGCGCGTTAAATGAATTGGGCGCGAACGAATGCATCCCAAGGCTCACCGTGCAGAACTGCGAATGCAACGAAAACGCCACCCGTTCGTTGCGTCTCGTGGGGCTCTCCGGAGTAGTTTCACTCGCCGCAAGCGTGTAATGACTGACAAGTCCAGCGACAAGAGCGCAGATTGGCCCGAGAATGAAGCCAACAAGGATGGACCGGCGGTGACCCCGCTTTTGATGCGGTAGAGCGCGGGCTGAAATGCGGGCTTCACAATCGGCCCTCTCGCGATCTAGTGAGACACGTACGATGGTTCCCACAACAGACACTCTGCCAAGGATCGCCTGAATCGGATACGGCGGGTGCTTCTTGGTGGTGGACTGGAGAGCGTGTCTTCGTAGCACTCTGCAGCACACACATCAGCAATCGGCGAACGGGCAGTAATTGAAGTCACACACTTAGTAAAAGGGCTGGCCGTTTAGCTGCTGGATGAACTGCAGCGTCGTGTCGTTGAGGGTATGCCTGAAGGAGACGTCAAGCTTCAATGGTTGAGAGGCGCTCTATCTGGGCATCCTTGTCGTCTTTGTTCTCAGCCGCCAAGCTTGAAGCTTGAAATCGATACATTGCGCCTCCATGAATCTCGCGGGTGAGTTCGGCGGAGTTAAGTTCGGTGATGGCCGCACACACCCCGTCCTCCCTGCCCATATAGATAGGGCGACGAAGGGATTCGGGAAGGAAGAAGGTGCCGTTCATGAGGATGAATGTGGTGTTACGAGGCACTGGGTGGCCATCAGCGGTAAGGGTTTCCAGTCAATATGTGCTGGGTGGTGAAATTCCCGACGTTCTCGTAAAATTGAAGGCACCGCTCGCGCGGGTTTTATATGTATGGACCCGTAAAAGATCCATGGTGCCATCAGTGACAGACACTTTATGCCATACCGATGCGGTGAATTCCGATGTGTGGCGGGTTCGACAGATGGCGCCGAGAGCATCGCCGGGGCAATCCAAGGCGTTCAGCATGGGGAAGGGCATCTTCGGCGAGCTCATAACACCGTTGTATATAGCCCCAAAGCACTCTGCATATGACCAGAATGTGAGGAGAGCGGCTTGAGTGGGGACAAATATGGCCGAATCATCCGTTGCTTCGACGGCCGTGATGGATGCCCGTGCAGTCAACGGGATCGGGGAGTATGGAGGGCGACAACCGAGCGACGTTATGGCGAGTGCGCCAGGCGTGGATGCCGTGATGTAAGCTAGAATGATTGCACGGTTTGGATGTCATGGCGCGTTTTCGTGGCGATAGAGAGCAGCCCTGCTCGGTCGCCCGAGGCATGACAAACGTGTCGGTGAGGCCATAAACAGCCCTCACGCGGCATGGAGCAGCACCGCGCATCGACCCATGCAGCCTTCCAATCTATCGTGGCAAACAGCAGGTGGGCGGTGCGCCGTAGAAGCTGGAAGGGTGAAGGCGATCAAAACCCTCCTTATAGTCGCGCCAAAGAACGCACATTGGTATCTTTGTACGCTTGCTCCAGCATTGAACGCGTGCGATGAGTGATGCAAGGTCGCGGCCTTGAAGACCGGGCTGGGTGGCTGTCCGCGAGTCTGGCAGGATGCGATGTGTCTTGAGGTAAAGGTGACGTTGTGGTTGAGCGACGTTGAGCGAAGCAGACACAGCGCTGGGCAGCAGATCGGAAAGGCACAGGTCGCGGCAGTTGGCCAGGTCGAATGGCTTGTGGAACACGAACAACATCATCGGCTTGGCTGCAATGGGACACACGAGCGCTCGGCCATGTGGTTCAGTAGATTGAGGATGGTGCGCAAGGCCTTGTACGGGCGACCGTACAAACCACTTCTCCCATCCGTCCTAGCGAGGTGCCGGCCACGAGTTCGCTCGTTTCAAGAGAGATCTGAGCATCTGAAGCCTGTCAACCAGCCACTACGACGACTGGAAGGGACCGGCAGCATCCCGTTTCCACATTGCGAGCGCGCATTGCATAGGGAGTCTCAGGTTGGTGATGGCGGGAAGGATAGAGTAGCCATGCGCTCGTTGAAGTGTCGCATGGTGCCAGCACGCATCCCTTCGGGCGATGGGAATTATATATCGATCTGGATTGTCAGGATCTACAATTGCCCGCGGCAGGCGAGAGTAGTGTGTGACGGGATGAAGTATGCGCGTGGAGCGACCGTGAAGAATGAATACGATCTCGTAGCCGTGCGTTTGACGGTTGCACGGGCAGGGCTCCTCCCGCTCTACTCGGCAGGCCCGCTGGGAGACGAATGGACGTGTTATTGATGTTGCACAGGTTCCCGTTCACGCGGCGTTGCGTGGATACTAGGGCTCGCTGAGCGATCCGTTGTCGAGTGGACATCAGTGCCACATTCGACCTGAGCCGTGTCGCTCGGATCCCCGACAATTCGCCAGGACTCGTTCTCGACGTTGCTTTCCCTCCACCGTATGACGCGCGATGTCATAGTCAGGGCCGTGGTTTGCCTGGTACAGCGGATGCGAGGTGAACTCAAGGGATCCCGCATTCAGAATGCCGCCAGCATATGCTCCAGCCGTCGCCTGCACCGAATGGGCGGGCATGGCAGAGCCATCGCCCATCCGGAATAACGTGTGATGGCGGGTGAAAGCAGATCATGTAGCATCCTATAGACCTACTGTGAGACGCTGATCGCCGCGCACAGAGTTATGAGTCAGACCTTACCGCAGTCGCAGCAATTGCGCAACAACATTTCTTCATCACGGTCGTGATGTAGTGGACTTAACATGATCGCTAGAGATTCATTGGCGTAAGGTGTTATTGTTAACTTGAAGGTAAAGATGCCTAACTCGTCAGAGCCCTCATCCGATTCGCGATCCTAATCGTTATCAATGCACGAGTCCTTCCCGAGCAGCGGCGGTCGGACGCGGATGGTGCGGGGCCCTTCGATCCTCAAGATAAGGGTCAGTAATAGGTCGCATTCAGCGATGCTGGTGCTCACGCGTGGTCTCCTCAACGACGACTCCCTTGCGGGCTTGCTCGTGCTTGATCGCGACGTCGATGCTAGCATTTCTCCATTCCGGAGCCCTCGCTGTCCAAAGGTTAACTCTCCACGCCCGTGCTCGCGTTCGCCGCTGAAGTAGGCGCAGTCAAAGTCGTAGCTGAGACACTGGCGTGGGGCGGCGAATGTGGACTAAGGTCGTAATCGCACGCAGCAGTAGAGGCGCGGGCCGCCGTGGGAGACGCCTTCGTCCATATGTCGGAAAGCGGAATCGCTGTGCCATTGCTTCAGCCGATGCGCCCATAATGTGTGTGCTGGGCGTACCTCGGTGTCCGTAACGAGCAGCATCTCCCAGCCCTCGGGCGGCACGATGTAACACAGCATGGCACCAGACTCTTGCGATTCAGGGCCGATTTGGCGCGTGTAGGCCGCCGAAACCGCAAACTCCTACACAGTGAGAGAAGAGAATGTGTAGGACATCTCTCCAAGACGAGAGGGGCCGCTGCCTTCGGCGTCATGCCGCTCGATTTGACACGGGGCAAATTTCGCAGGGTACATATCGAGCAAGAGGCTGTGTCTGGATCGGCTCGGCGTCCTTTCCGAAGATCTTAAATAGACCGTCAGCAGGATTCCCCGCCCTCGTAGCACCGTCGTCTTCATGCTCGTTGTAGTTGACCAGAGCAGCCATAGCACGGGTTTTCGACATCCGATGAGCAAGGAATGCAGTAAGACCATCTTGGGGGGCGCCAGAAGTAGATGCTGAATCAGGATTTGAAGTAGCGGCGGGAGTGGAGGCAGAAATAGTAAAAGAATTCCCCGATACAGTCCAGTCGAAGCAGATGCGTTCGACGGTCAAGGCCACGTTCCGTTCGGACGCTTGACACCCTGAGCGGGAATCGAGTGACAGAAATTGAAAGAGACGTTTGCGCCGACGTTCGCACGACATGATGTCGGTGGGCGTAGAGCCAGAGTCTAGTCGTCGTGGTCGAGGTTGAGTTGTGTGCGAGTTGCGTGCGAGTGTGTGCACACCGCTCCGACCTGCGGATTCCAGCACCTTCTACATGGGCTTATACACATATATATCGGTATTACCTTGAGCGCATCGCGTTCCAGTGCGACGTTTGTTCCCTCACGGCCAGTCCGTGCCGTACAGTATATACACAGCGTGGCGCTAGCGCTCAGCCTCTAATCATCGGATGCGACGTGATCGTTCTTTTGGTCCTCACAAGTTCATGCAGAATGAGGATTAGAAAAGCGTATGGCTTTACTGCGTTTGACGAGACGGGAGCTGAGGACGAGACTGTGACGCAATGCGCAAAGGAAGGATATGGCAATGGATGGGGGAGGTAAGCTACACCGGTACGAGCTCTAGCGACGATCGAGACAAGAATCTGAGCACGAGGCATCGATGCCTCACCAACCATCGCATCCGCGGGCTTGTCCGGGCCCTGCATGCCCGACGTCTAGGGGATGAGATTGTTGTGGAGCCGCGTGATGAGTGTAGCGTCCTTGTATGGCTCTCCAGAGGGCTATCGAGCTCGGCGATCGCATGGTCGAAGGCCTTCTGCGCGAAGCGGCATGCGCGGTCGGACGGTTTCACGATCTCGGGATAGAATGCTGAGATGCTGAGCGCAATACCAAGGCCGAGGCGGATGAGGTGCGTCGGTGGGAATTCGGGCCAGCGACGTCTGATGCGGCGTTGTAAGCCTCGGACGATCTGGCGGCAGGGTCCTTGCGCTCGTTGCCCAGCGGCGAACATGACGAGGTGACGGTGATAGCCACCTATCTTATGAACGACCATGAGAACATGCACCCGAACAATATATCAGAGGTCGTCGCTTACATCTTGTGGTAGAAGGTCTTGGGCGAGGTATTTCTCGAGCACGTCGAGGGCACCCTCGCAGATCTCGATGAGCTCGCCCTCGATCTTCACCTTCAGCCCTTAATCGTGGCGACTCGGGCATGGGTAGCCTCCGCTTCCTTCTAAATGCGACAGAAGGCACAAAGACGCTCTTTCAGGCGCCGAGAGCAGGTTGCGCTCTTCCTGGTCGGAAGGAGCGATGTGCTCGATGTTCCCGACCATCTGTACAGATAGATCGGGCGTTGGTAGACCGCATACAATATAGTCCAGTCCTTACACTCACTTTTGTAGGTGTCGGCCTGCTCCGCGAGGTAGACAAAGTCTTCGCTGGTCTCGGGCATCTAGATATGCGGCGAGGCATTAGCAAGTCTAATACGCTCCGACGGGCCGCGAGCGACTCACGTCGATAGGTTGGTTGCACGTAGAGCCAGGGGCCGTACAGAGAATTGAGTCGGGATCGGTGCAGACGATGAGGGCATGGAGACGAGCACGCACTTGTGAGCAGGAATGGCGGTCGTTCGCGAAGAAACGCAATGTTCGGATGAACAGCATCTCGCGTGGTCAACGCGTGCATCCGCATTGGCTCAGCGCTCGACAGCTATCGGCCGCATCATCTCGGCCGTCCTCTTGACTATACACTTGAGGCACCGGTCACTTTTCTGACCCGGAACACGGTGATTTTCATCCAGAACATGGTAAACTTATGGACAAATGCTTCTTTGTCCATAATTTACCCATGGTTTTACCATGTTCTGGATCGGAGAACCTCCAGTGCACTTAGAAAGGCAAATGGCTTACCCGTCCACCGCTTCGAACTCCCCGCCGTCGGCATATTCGGCATGGGCGGCTGATGATTATCCGATGCGGCATCTTCCGATCCCGCTCTCCCTCCTCCGGCGAAAATCAGTCTTCTCCAAGCCGTCTCTTCGCCACCCGGTCCGCCGGCCATAGCGACCCTGAGGCCTGAAG